TTTTCATTACACACTCTAACTTCTACCGATATCTTCATCTCTGAATGCGTGACTAAAAGTGTTAACAAATGGTTTATGAACTCCATATCAACCACATATATGATGACTGCTTAGTAATTTCGGAATATATCTAGCTAAACTCTGAGTGGCATTTGGTCTTTCAGATGCGTTACTTGTTATTATTGAATATAACTTGTGCAACAGCATCCTGTATTCAGACACAATAGTTCAGGTATCAACAGCACATTTCTTATTTATTTCATTCCTTTGCGTTTCCAGTGGAACATATAGCTTCTAGCTGGGGCTTGGAAGTTTCTGTAGCAGTGAAGTCCTTTTTACGTAATGAAGTTGCTAGCCTCACGCCCAACCTTCCCGCTTTACCGTGCTCACTATCAGCTTAGCTATGTTTAGGAGTACTTCGGCAGAGGATCGAAGCCCGGCCCACGTGAGGCGTGGTTGGCGAACGTTATACCCCTGAATCACTGACACACATCAACAGCACATGATGAAACGGGACACATGTTGACTCAAGCAGTTGAACTTTAAAAGATTCTATGTCGAAACCAACAAAGCAGAATATGGTTTCCGAGTAATCTACTCACATTCTAAGGATCCTACAAAAAACCTCGGAGGAAATATGCATAAATTGACAAATATGACTAAAGTGATGACATAAGGAAGAAAGCATTTCTAGATGAGTAGTGCTAACTCAAAATCCAAGCAAATTTGATGGTTTTTGCTTGTAGAAAATAGCGAGATAGATCAATGAACACATTTAAACCATTAGTGACTTTCCACATTATTACATAAACGTTGATGTAATGTTACTTCACAATTCTGTTCACTAACTTTGAAAGCACCTTAAAGGAGACTTTGCACATGTAAGGCGTCATTGTTAACAATAATTAGCTTCCTTATTCTACTTTCACTGAAATAATGAGGCATGTAGTCAGTCATAGACCAGAATGGAAAAAGCACTCAGCGCAGAATGGGAGAATAAATGATAAATTCCACACCACATATTAGAAGTGCTCTACACCTTTTTCTCCAATTCAATTCCATTAATGCTCTGGAGGTTTGACTTTGACATATATCAGAAGCAGTGGAAATTCTCCGCAATAGGCTAAGCTGGCCTATTTAGTTCATGACTAGTCACTTGGGCAGCTTAACATTGAAAAGTTGATTTCCAATGGTTCTCTAACTGATGTCAACTCATGATGAAATCCTGTAATCAATCAGTACTTAAAAAGACGTCATTGTTGTTAAATGGTACGGCAGATTTTACCCCAGCTAACTTTAATTTTGCTGTTGTTGGAGCTTTTGTGACTGCGTGTAACTCTAGGAACTTCAAGATAGCGACGGAGCAGAACGCAATGATTGATTTCCTGCATTCAGACTATAACACGTGAGTTTAGGTAGGTTCATAGTCTCTGCTCCGTATTATGGTTCAAATTCGAAGTTTCTTACATCTGCTAAGTGTTGTAGGTATCCACACTTATATAAGAATAAAGAATGCTTCTTGTGCTTTCATGATCCTATCCTGTCCCTGACAAATTCATGTGTGCACCTGCAACTGAAAAACTTTTACACAGATAAGTGGATACATCTTCTAGATTAATTCCGATGGTGGTAAGTGACACTTGTTGTATTCACCTGGGTATATTCATGAACCCAGCATACTTTATGTTCAGTCGATGTCCAGCCTCTTGCTTCCTATGCCAGCTTGCTGGTCTTCGCTCAGATGTCTTTCAGCTTGTTAAATGGTCAAAATCCCATAGAACTTTTTAATTCTCCTTCCAGTTCCCACTGTCTGTTACGTGACCCAGTCTACCACAATGAGCAGCATCATCGGTGGCAGTCGGCAGACTTGTCTTACTCCTGTCTTCATTTCAAAAGCTTTACTAAACTCTCCTTTGCAAATCAATCGGCATTGGTCGTGATCGCATAGCTGCTGACTGAGGTTCATCAAAATAGCCTCTCTTCCAATCGAAAGACACATTATTTTCCCTTCAAACTCTGTGTTATAACACCGCCAGTTTGTGTGATGAGGATTTTCAGTTTTCTTTCCAGTTGACTTTCTGGTGGAGTGGTAGATGATGGTTAGCTCGAGTGTCTTTCTATGAGGTCCTCCCAGCGTTCTCCTTCAGATGTCCTTCATAGCTTTACACTTCAGTTTATGAGTATTGAAGTCAAATTTCTCTATGTTATTAGCCTATTTTGAGGCTTTCCACTTGATGACCTTCAAGGTTTCCTAAACTACAAAATATTCTGAAACTCTATCTGCTACTACTTTTAATTTTGTGTCCAGCTGGCTGCATCTCTTCCAATTCTCTCTTCTGATTGGAATGAAGTCTAGCCGACATTCAGTGATCTGGTGAAAGTCACGTCTCATTGTGTATATTCTTGTGCTTCTGAATATCTCCACCAGTCACGTCTTAATTAAACCCTTGGAAGTCTCTGATGCTTTCTGAGTTCCCATGCGCTTCAAGAAGTGCATACTGACCTATTTTGATTTCAGTTCTTCTGCTGTTTGCTTCGAGTTTTTCTAATCTGTTATATTATCAATAATATCGTTCCAGAAACACTTTGACTGTGGTAATAATTCATAAATAACTATCTGTCCAACCAAAATTAAGTAAACAGAATCAAAATTTTCATCATGAGCTGACATTAGTTAGAGAACCATTGAAAAACCTGGGAGTACTGGACAGCTGTTTCGTCCTGGTTTGGGAGTCTTCAGCAGTACGCGCCCACCGGGATTCGAACCCAGGACCTTCTGGTAACAAGGCGAGCTCGTATATCGGGTCTAAGTGGCATAATGGTACACGAGCTCGCCTTGTTACCGGAAGGTCCTGGGTTCGAATCCCGGAGGGTGCGTAGTGATGAAGAGTCCTAAACTGGGACGAAACAGCTGTCCAGTACTCCCAGGTTTTTCAGTGGTTCTCTAACTAATGTCAGCTCATGATGAAAATCCTGTAACCAATCGAATCCCTACAAACCAACACTTGAGAATCAAAATTATTCTGAGTTTAAATTGAACATGTACTCTTAGCTACTGGTTATCTTTAGTTGAATTGCATACACTGGAGCACAGGATGAAGTTTAATCAAAACACGACGAAGGTTTAATTTTTGCGGTGTTCTTAAAAATAGATTTTTGTGGATTTATTTGCACGAAAGTAATCACATTGTTGGATTCAATATGTTTACATACATCGTCTTTAATAATTCTTCCTCATGATTTCAAATTCAGGTAGGTATATATTCTAATGTTATCATTTAGTGGTAGATGCATGATAAGCGGTTTTGCACTGGTAAACGTCATTTTATCAGCCATAGATCATGCACTCTACATAATCGGAGAAGAAGACAATTCTTCAAGTTCCCATAAAGAAGAGGATAGCAAGAAACAGTAGTGAAAATCAGATGGACAATTAAAAAGTTGTCTTTTGCAATTAATTGAACAGCTTTTTTCACTTGTAGTCTGCAAGGAACAGCATGATAACATTAGGTGCTTTTTCTTTTCTAACAATTCTTCACTAACATTTCATTTGTGTCTGAAATTATACTACCTATATTATTAATTAGTAGCCAGTAAAATTTTCATTTATCATTTCGTTAGTCCTTAGATAAAGTTATTGATTTCAATAGATATTTATCATGCTTATTGAATCAGGATTTGATACGTCCTGGCGAAATTTCCTTCTTATGGTTAAACTGTATTTGATATACATTTTCCTCATTATGCCCTACTCTCAGTTATTGTTTATTTTATGTAGTTCCTTTGAGTTCTGAATTGATAGGATCCCGCATAAAGTAGTATATCATCGTCTCTCACGCATGTTTTGATTTATTATGCGATCAATCATTCCTCATGCATGTTGTGATTAATCCTGAGATCAACCAATTCTCACGGATGTAAGGCCGACTTTATTGTTGTAGAGAAAATGTATGAATACCATGTGCTGTTTTCGCAATGGTTTTTGATGTGATTACAATATACAGTCACAGACCAACCTTTGTCTTCTGATATTTATGTGGCTCAGTAAATCGGAAGGTACCTCAGGCAGATAGGTATATTAGGCAGGCGCAGACAGAACAAAGTGACACTGAAGGCTTCCGTAAACAAGAAGCCTTTACATATATATGTAAATATACGACTGCAATTCATCGGCGATATATCTAGGGAAAAAATTGCAAAAATGTTAAGAAATTCAGTTGGAAGGACTCTTAATGCTATTAAACTACAAGTCTTACTTTCTACATGGTAGGTAGTGATTCCTCAAATGAAAGATGAAGTACCTAGACTGGGCTAGTCACTTCTAATTGTATCTACCAATTCAACTGCGCTCGCGGAGCGACTTATATTGGCCTGCTTGGGGAACATCTACCAATGTGGCTAAGTAAAGGTATAGTGAAAACCATCAACAGTTGGATATTAGACTACCTGGTCCAAACCGGACACAAAGTCAGCATTGAAGAATCTTTCTCCATTATCTATCGGGTACCAAATGAATTGCCACAAGCATCCAGGTGCTGCATACTCCAAGCATCAGAGGCCATCGCTATTCGTCTTAAACGACCGGTGCTCTGTGTAGACAGGAAGCAAGTGCAGCCAGCACTAGTACTGCTCTGGCCGACCTTCAGTAGAGACTATAAATTCATGAATTTGTATAATGATTACTTCTTCTAATTTCTCTGACATTCATTCAGTGTATTGTTATGTTGCTGCTATCAAACTGTAATCCATTGACATTATTATTATTGATTCCATGTTACTGTTTAAACAACAGTAATGTTGTTAATAACACTAATTTAGTCACTATTATGTATATATAACTGCAAAAGCGATTGAAGAAGGCGTTATCGAAAAGAATATTCTTTGTTCAGTAATCATTCTTTTGAAAATGGTCATTTATAATCATATTTTCAATTCCTTGTCATATCTCTCATCTAGAGCTAAAAGATTAGCGTGTTATAATGTGTATACGTGTCGAACTGAAAAAACCTGTCCACTTGAGTTAAATATAGCTGAAAACATGTGAGTGTAAAATGTGTTTCAAAAAATATTCATTCCGAAAAGGAAATCAATAAATGATAGCAGTGTTAAACAATAAAATGATTAGTACACAAAGTGCTCAAATATTTTGAAGGAAGATCGTTTTATCGTTCACATACTTTAATTTTGGCAATTTATATACATATGTATATAGCACATATTGAGAAGAAGAAAATTATCACTTGTATCCAAGTAATGAAAGGAAACCAAAGTAATACGATTTGGGCCATCTTCAAACTACTGATTAGTTTCAAACACTGTCCAGTTAAGAATAAACCCTGTTTTAGACAAATGAATTATTATTTAGTCATTAGAAATTGTATAGATGACATTTTGTCTAAATTAACAGTAAATTTAATACATTCAAAATGATCTCATATAGCCAGTTCCCTTTATTAGTTTGTACAACGAAAGAAAGAACTTATTTGCAGGATAGTATTAACTCGATTCTGAGAAGAGGATGCTATCGAAGGAGCTTGACCTAACCTCTGTATACAGAAAGATAGCATGACTAACCTCTCACTATTCTGGTAACTTTCATACGATAGTAAAATGACCAGCGCGATTCAATAATTTTCACTGGTTCACTGATTGTAGAGTGAAATTGTGGTGAGAGCTGTCTACTAGCCAAATTGGTAGACAGTAATTTATGTCAACGTTTACGTTCTCAAGATTTGTCGTGAGAAAATATGAACGAAGACTGATTCAAAACCGACTACAGCAGACTTTGCGTAGGCGGATACAGTTAACATATAGATGATGTGACATTCAAGAAACAGTCACAAAGAGATGAAAGATTAACTTTAAGTGAGAAACAACCTATCAGAAGACTGTGTTTGTTTGCTTAACTAGTCTATAATAATGTACATGAAAATATATAAATATGCTTTGATTTCCTTAATAAACGATCTGTTGCCTGGCCCTTGTCTTCTGTTGTTACAAAATGAGATCCATCTCATTTCCGAATTCCACAGACTTATCCAGTGTTACCTGCATAGTCGAAAGAAAAGCCTCGTGAACATGCTATGCTTCCATACACATTGCTTTACTAAGACCTTAGCAGTTCGGATGGGAAACCCTGACTCATGCATGTGCAAAGAAGAAACTTCTCCATTACCTATACTTCTACCTTGATTTATAATTTTTGGTTAAATTGCTATCACTAATTTGTTATAAACACTATTATGTGTATTTTCCGTACGATATTTAATATCATCATTTTTCCTACTAACTTTCTAGTTACTCTTTTTACTGACAATACAGTTTATTTTGATATTTGTCACCACTCTCTTTCCTGAAGACTTAGTTACCTCTGAATGTTTTCATCATATTACGTAACCGTAGTCTAAACTCACTAATCTTCACCCCTCCGTTACACATAATCATGATTGTTCATCAAATTTTTTGAAATATTTTGATGATGTAAGCAAAACTCCACGGCTGACAGTGTTATACATTATTATTTACTGATGACATCTCGAGCAAAATGTTTTGCTTATAGACGTCGATAGTTTTGACAAAATGTATCCTAAAATTGTATTAGCGAGGAAGTGTCTTTAATATCTTTTCAGTTTATGTAATTCCCCTAAACACTTAGTTGATTTTTATACATTTAATCACACTAGCTCTCGAGAAAATGAAACCTGGGCATTATCAGTTCATGGTCTTAATGGATTGTCAATTGGCTTGAGATAACCTGCAGAAATTTAGATTAACCATTCAACTACTACACGTACACACACGCTCAAACAATATGCAATGGAAACATAAGTTCACTGATGTTTTATGGAGATAAAGTAGCATTGCTGTGAAAACTGATAATCAGTCAGTATATATATGTCAACGATATAAGAATAAAACTTGGGCACTGTGGTAGAGTGTAATTCCATTATGGGTAAATTTTATTTTGATAGAGTTTCACAGTGTTATACAGTAATACTTACTGATGACGTTTCGAGCACAATTTATTGCTCATAATCATATCAAGGTAATCACACGACTTCCTAATATCATTTATATAGTTCCATTGTTTTTCACTTGATTTTCACTTGATTTGATTGGTAGTATTATTTTCCATATTTCAGGTAGGAGTGATGAATCATTCCTATTGCATGTGTTGGGTGTAGATTAGATGAACAAGGATTCAGTAATCAACCTCTCTCTCCACCTACCTAGATTACTTTTTAGAATTTTAACCCTCTCCCACCCTATTGTGTGGTTGTGTGTTAATGCATGCATTGCAATTGCCGAGCTTTTTTCCAAATTACTTATCTTCTCTGGGTCAACCATTCTTACCTTAGCTAAATTCTTATGTTCTGACAATCTGACTACCCCTGACCTACTAGTTTGACCTATGTAGTTGACCTCACAGTCATTGCAGGGTATTTTGTAAATTATATTATTTTGTCTAATTGGGTCCACTGGGTCCTTTAACCTACAGAGCTTGTCCCTGAGTGAGTTTGTAGGTTTAAATGCCACTCTAATTCCTGCCTTATTCAGAATCCTACGTAGGGTCTCAGATGTCCCCTCCTTATATGGTATAACAGTGGATGACTTATATTCTCTCTTATTTATGTTATCATTACTAGTTCCATAATTATTTTTATTTTTATTTTGTTTTTGGCCTTTAGTTATCTTCCTAATGAATTTTAAAGGATAATTATTCAACACCAACGCTTCTTCTATTTGTTTTATCTCGTCGTTAAGGTCTTTTTTTGTGCTACTTAGTGCTATGGCTCGGTTTGTTAGACATTTAACTAAGCCTGCCTTAACAGTTAACAGTTAACGGATGCGACGAATTAAAATCTAAATATCTATTAGAATGCGTTGGTTTTCTATACACACTAGTATGAAGTTTACCTTCTTCTATTCGTTTTATTTTACAATCTAACATAGCTAACTCCTTGTTCATCTTCCGATTCAAATGTGAATTTTATCCCCTCTACTAGTGAGTTAATATGTGTCAAGAAGCTAGAGATATGTTCTGTTTTTAACACTGTGAAAGTGTCATCCACATATCTCCACCATATTTTTGGAGTAGGATTAAACGTATTAAGTGCCATATTTTCCCAGTTATCCATAAATATATCTGCTACGATAGGGGATATTGGTGATCCCATCGCTACACCTTCAGTTTGTCTATATATTTTGCCTTGGAATTTAAATATAGTAGATGTGAGGCATAGCTGAATTCCTAAAATAATTTCTTCAATGGACAGCTTTGTCCTATGATTGAGTTCAGTATCCGCAGTTAGTTCTTTTTTAACTGTTTCTAAGGCCATGTTGACTGGTATATTAGTATAAAGACTGGTTATATCAAAACTCACCATTGTTTCATCATTCCCTAGTTGTATGTCATTTAGTTTATTTTTCATCTCATATGAATTAGTTAGTCTAGAATTTGAACGATTTCTAATGGGGCATAATATTAGAGCTAAATGTTTTGATAATTCATATGTAGGGGTATTTCTAAAATCTACTATTGGTCTTATGGGATAACCTGGCTTATTTATTTTAATAGTACCATACATCCTACTAGCATTATTAGCTTTTGGCATTAAATTGAACCATTTTGACTCACCCAGTGACGGCTTCATTCTGCGTACTAATTCCGCTGTGGATTTTTTAACCTTATTCATTATTGTATCTACGGGCTTCTTAATTTCCTCATATGGAGCCATTTCAATATGTTCAGTGACTTTCTTGATGTAGTCAGATTTATTTATATGTCAACCTTCTGGGTTATCAAGTCACATGAATATTTACAAAAAAAATTCAACATCTGACTTACCAACGATACAGCTAACATTACGCATGCAGCACAAAATATGCATCCAGCCGCCTGTAAGTAACAGACAGAATGAATTGTGGTTTCATTTTTGATGAAGAAGAATTTACACGTTCACTTTTTATCATATATATGAAAAGCTTTAATTTATCCTCACATTCACAATTTGCAAATTGTGTAGTAATTAACAATGTATGCTGTTCAAGGGGTAAAATTTACACCATAGATTGCTTAGAAACCAAATTATCCAGATCACAGTATGTGATCTAATTGATACTATAAATGGTAATGAAGAAAGCAAGTTTATTTGTAAAAAACTATATACTACTGATTGGTTGAGGTGAGTAGTTGTGTACCACCTTGTCATATCAACTAGTAGTGTTTGCCAGCTAGATTGAGGTGATCTCAACAGCGTATTACTATTTATGGTATCAAGCAGATCACATACTATGATCTAAGTAATTTGGTTTCTAAGAGAGAAACTATGATGAAAGTTTCACCCCTTGAACTGTGTACATGGGAAGTTCCTATCTAATTTGCAAACTGTTCTGCAAACTGTAGTTGGCCAGAAACCGGATGGTTTGAACTGATTCGGCTCTGTGAAGTGAGTAAAACCACGGACACTAGTGAGAGACTCAGACCAAAGCGTACGAAACGAGCACTGTTGGTTCGCAGGTACTCATCTCAGCCAATCAGTAGCATATAGTTTTATGCATTTATTTTTGTTCTCCCTCAGTGCAATTTATTCTACATGTTATCTGCTAGACGACTTAAAATTATGTGGTATACCTGATGGTTGCAAAGACTTAGCATGAATACTTAGGTGTCCTTCAGTAGAGTCTTCAATCAGTCAATATCAATAAAACTCCTCTTCCTATAGATGAATTCCTAGTATTTTGACGAGGCTGCAACAGTAATGTTTAAGAAGTTGACCATTACAAATGCCTAGCTTCTAAGTCGTAATGCAAAACACATCAACCGTAAATTTAAAATAATCGAGAATAATGGCGTTCGATACACTAAAAGAGATAGTGAATTGTTAAATGTGCCGTTCCAATTTATAAAGAGGTTTTGTGGAGTGTAGTTAAAGAAGTCTGGCAAGAGATACTATGTGCCGATTGTAGTTTTTATCCTCAAGCTTTTCCAGTTTTGCGGATAAACACAGTGTTTACAACTGATGGACGGTTGTGTTTCCAGATACGTGTGTGTCTCCCTTCACTCCTGTATTCTTCTTAATTATCCATATATCCTAGAATGACCAGGAAGGAATTCAGTTCTCACCAACATCTAGGACTAGACGCATGACATTATTTAATATCCAGTCAAAGTATCCAATGCGCTCCAATGAGATGTCGGTGACGAGTCTGAATAGATCAGTGCTAACGATTCTGATTGTAGCACGTGATGGCATGTTTTCGAATCTCAGAAGCGACATCATTTCCTTGCAGATAAGCCTTGCTCACTTTTGAGCCCCCATCAAGCACTAACCTAAGTGCAATATTCCCTGTCGATTATCACCAACTACCTAATAAGGATTTTGAGATTTTTAGTAACAATATAGGAGGCGAAATACTTTGTATATCATTCTCAATCATCAAGATGAGTTTAATTCTTTTACTGGATATGCCACTTACTCCATATCCATTAAGTCTCAAGGGAATTAACAGAAGAGCACCCAACACGATTAATCCAATAGCGATTGCCAACGCTGTGAGACTGGCTGTCTCGCACACTTTCCTCGTGTGTCCGATTATGACTAAAGTCCAAGCTATAACTACCGCCAGAGTCCATGGAATAAAGATCACAGATCTCATGAATGTTGTTAGAACAGGTAATTCCAAAGACCATAACAAAACCTATGGAATAAAATGTATAAATCAAGTTTGAATATGAAATTACCACGGTTTTTGTTGAAAGGAATTTTTAACTAATGCAATATGTGTGGAACTTGAACTCGGTAGCAGTGTACAAGGTTCTTGAGGCTCTATAATACAAATACATTGACTTTAGTCTACAACTATTTACTGACTATCCTAATGAAGTAATGAAAACTGATGAAAAGCAGAATGGGATATGATTTAATGAAAGGCTAGGTACATTTTAAAATTTTTCTTTATACGCCTAAATCAAAGACAAATAGAAGGCCTATCTCTTGGTCTAAAATTTTTCTGCAGATATAGCCAGACTAATCACCCAGAGACCGAAGTTTAATTCGGAAAGTTCTTTACTCAGACAAATGATTTAATTTCTTTCTTGTGAGTTGGAGAGATTTAAAAGTACTCTGATTTAAACTTGTTATCCAAATGGGAAGCGACGACTGGGTCATCGCTTCGAGGGTGATATGTAGGAGATCGTGTGAAGAAGAGATGAGAGAGTTTGGTCAATCGTGGATCCAGCTGAAGAGGACGGCAAAAAACAAAATGGATATGTGTTGTTGAAGCCCTATATTCCACTCGGAACTCAAGGGAATAATAATAATATTATAATAATCAGTTTAAAAACAAAAAAACCTACTCAACGACCTAAATACACAATAACACCGAGATGCATTGCATGAGTTCAAAACTCATGATGCGCTGATAATAACCACACCTGACAAAGGATCTGGTACAGTTATCATGGATCAGAGTGATTGTAAAGATAAAGTGAATCTTCTCAGTGATCAAATAAAATTCCAAAAGTCGGGTAATTGTGAAGATACAAATGAGGTCACGAAGTGAATAAGTACTATGACACTGCAATCACCTGTGGTGAGAAATCGCATTATTAATCCTATACTTGACAAATTAAAACTTTCAGAGATTTTAACACATACTCATAGTTTACGGCTAACTGAAAACCCTCAAAGCTGGAGTTCAGTTACGTCCTTACCATTCAGTGGTTGGAGTGCTGATCAAAAGCAATGGAATCTTTACACGGCGTAAAGATGTAATAAGTTTTGTAGAAACTACCAAAAGTCTTAGACTAATTAAAGCTTCTCTTTCCGATTTTGTTAAGTTTGATTTTGCCTTCTTTTGATTTTTTAGGGTTAATGCACATTGTGCTCGAACCTCTTCTGCTGTTGTCTTTTCTATTGAACCCAGTGCTACTTCTATGTTAGGAACGACATCCTTTGGTTTTAATTTATTAACTGTTACGTTGAAATTTAGTCCTTTCTCCAGTACTTTTATCTCACTAGAGCTTAGTTCCCTTGATGAGAGGTTGATCAACCACTTTGTTCTGTCGATAGAGGATGAAGCGTTGACATCAATTTCATTTGTTGTGTTCTTTTCTTCAATTAGTTTGTTGAATTTTTTGATTTGTGTGGTTTTTGATTTTCTCAATGCTGATTCTATAGCTTTTTCTGATGTTTCAACAGCAATTACATAATCTTTGTCATTGACCATACATTTGAGTTTGTGTTTGAGTTTTTTGATTTCATTTCGTATATTATTTAGTTTCACAGTAATTCGATGTAGTTCTTCTCTTAGACATTCCTAACATAGAAGTAGCACTGGGTTCAGTAGATAAGACAACAGCAGAAGAGATTCGAGCACAATGTGCATTAACCCTAACAAAACCAAAAGAAGGCAAAATCAAACTTAACAAAATCGGAAAGAGAAGCTTTAATTAGTCTAAAACAGGATAAAAATATTGTCGTCGCAAAAGATGACAAGAACATCTCAGTAAACTACCAAAAGCTTGGATTTCAGTGAAACAAAAACGATGTCAAACTTCCTGAAACCGTTAATCACATATGTGACCAACTAATAGATCAGAAAACAGAAATAGGAATGACTCCTGAAAATGTTAAGGAATTACTTTTCAAATTCACAATGAATGTTCAGTTTACATGCCTTCTATAAACAATTCAATGGATTTGCGATAGGCCTACCAGTGGAACTTATGCTAGCAGACATTTTCTTGGCAAAATTTGAAAATGGTTCGTTAAAGAGAAAAGATGAATGAACTTCAGTATTACTGTCAGTAAATAGATGACAATCATTTTTGGAGGAAAAACTTTAACAAATGAGATATTTTGAATGCTGTCAATAATATTCACCCATTTCACTTGTGGGGAAGATGAAAATAACAGAATATGCTTCTTAGGCGCTCTATTTACCAAGAAAATGGAAGGATATTTGTAAAACTTCATCAGGTCACTACATCAATTTTCATAGTTTCACACCATATCAGTGGAAAGGGAATTTAGTTAACCTGAGGCGAGTAGTAGTATACCATTCATATCAACCAGTAGTGCTTGCTGACCAGCAAGATCGAGTTGATCTCAAACATCTTAATTCGACTTGCAAAGGAAACTATGGAGAAAATTCTCCCATTGAACTGTGCACGCTGGAACTCCTCAAGGGATATAATTCCTTAAAAAACATATATATATATGTATTATACAGTATGATAACAAATTCGTTGAAGAAGTCTCTTCGCTAAAAATTGTGTTCCCTATGTTACAATGGGAATATTCAAATTATAAAATTAAGTGCCTTAGCTATACAAAAAGATTCTTAGACGAGTGCATCAGTGTGTTAACTGAAGCTTACGATACAAGAAAACAGATCTCCGGGATACCTGTATCAAAAGTACATGCTAGTAGCTAAAGAGAAAGAGAGAGAGAGGTTAATGCTGGATACAAAGATTAGAACACATTTCTAATGCACTGTATTTTTCTGTGAAAATTATTGAATTAAATAAATAATCGAGTCTGTTGGAGTACAAGAGGAGGAAGTAATCTGAGACTTAAATATTGACAGATCCACTACTCACTGTATATACAAATCACCTCACAGACATCTAATATGTACAGAGGTTAATATTAGCTTTCATTGTGTTGTAAAAGCATGTTGAAACATGTATTTCACTGTACTCTACAAATGCGTTGTATGCACAGTTGGTTTGAGGTCTGATTCTCCGCTGACACAGTCCTTCACCTGTACCATAGTAGGCTTGGTAAAGAGTGAAGGTTGGACTTGAAATTGGCAACCTTACTCCTTAAAAAGATAAACGCCACTGCCACTGAAACTTCAATGCCTCAGGCTTAAAGCCCTATATTCCACTCGGAACGTCCTATAGTTCAGGACTTTCAACGGTCTATTATCAATTTCTTCGGAATGTATAATACACACATTGGCTTGAGTTGTCGTTTTATGAGGATTATTTGTGACTGATAGTCAATAGTTTGTGTACAAGATAGCAAACAGTGATTCTTGTAAAATGTCAAACTTACAGTAAGAAAGCTGAGTATATAATTTAACGGATACAGATATTGAAGTTTCTTGACAAGAATCAACACTAATATTGGAATTATACCAATAAAACTGAAAAAAAGGAAAAATGCAACTTGTTAGACACAATAAATAGAAACTTTTATTCATTTTCTGGTGTCACTTTTATCGCCATTGAAGCACTGGGTTTAGAGTTGAACAAAAGACTTCAGCAGCACACAGCCGTTTTACTCTGTTACCTACAATCTTGTTCAATTGACTTCATGGTTGTCCATAAGCTTTCATCTCATTTTCACACGATTTCCCACATATCATCCCCTGAGCCTCAACTAGCCGTTTTCCATTCAGGGTTTCTCTTAATGGCCTGGCACATAATGTCACTCATGTATCTCCTCAAAGAACGTCCAATCAATCTCCATTTTCTTCAGCATACCTGCTGGATAGTTCTCTGCCACAGAATTCCTATGTTGCCTATCCTTTCTGGCCATCTGATCTTCATGATCAAGCTAGAGAAGACAGCTTTTCATGTAATTCTGTAGCTTCTTGGAATTGTTTTTCTAAAACCATACATAAGCACTGACTCGGTAATAATCTTGAAGAATCCCACCTTGTCCCTCATACCTTATGTGGCAATTTTCCAGACTAATTCCAGGTTAATGTACCATTATGTCGCTTCCCTAACCCCGCCTTTGACATCTACGCCGTCTGAAGTTTGAAAGATGCTGCCATAATGAATGATTAAAGTGGCTCCCTTCAATTTTCTTTCATTGATGGTGACGGATGCTCAGTGTTGCTGGTCGGTGCGTTTGTTCATCATGTCCATCTTCTATATGCTCACTTGGATACTTGTCTTCTCTGTCAGCCCATCCTCCCAAGTTGTTGGTTTGTGCAACATCAGACATGAATTATCCGCGAAGTTCAGATCTTCCAGTAAACTGTAACTGGTTAAACGCACACCACTTTTCTTGCTACCTAAGTTCAGCTGCGCTATCAAATCAACCATAATCAGGAATATCATCTATGATGGTAGGCAGCTTTTTCTCTTACTCCTCTTTTCACTTCAATGGATTTGTTAGGTTTTTCTTTCTGGATCACTCAAAATGTGACATCATCACAAAACTCGTGAGTCAGCTTGACAAAAATACCGGGGACTCCGTTGTGTAGAGGCGGATTTTAAATAACTTCACGGTCGATGTTGTTGAAGTCCTCTTCTAAAATCTAGTGTCTATTAGGAAATATGTGTAGTATAATTTTAAGCTGAACAACTCACAAGTACATAACTGGTATATAATTATCTGCATATTTACGTCGAATAGTTGTTCTAAGAAAGGTGATTTGTAGAAAAAATAGGCATTAAAATACAGACTTACATGGTCGCTATACAGATTGTAATAATCATTGTTATGAAAATCATTAAACCCGTAAGAAAGATGTACTTGATGCGAATATTAAAAAATACATAAACCTATGCGCCTACCCTTGTCAGTAACTGCTCTTCTGGTGTAATTCCAGGGACTTTATGCTACAAAAATAAATAAAGTCATGTGAAAATATTCTCACAAACCCTTGACAATTTGTTCATCTTTACTTTCCAGAAACGAAAGCCTAATTTCTTCATGAATTGAAATATCAAAACTATGAGAATGAAACTTGTAAATAGTAACTCCGATTGATGGTTAGATCTGATATAATACGTTTTACATTCCATAAAAATTGATTTACTTGGCTGATCGGGAAATGAGTCCACAGTTTACAAATTGTCACGACTTGTTAGCAAGTAGTAATGCTCGCAGATTGCTGGAAAATGGATCAGTGAATGAAACAGAATTAGGTGCTTGATTAAAATGCTCAACAATATTAAATGGTTGCTAAGTGAGAATGGTTATCCCGAAAAGTTTATTGATAAGAATATGAATCTAAAACCAAAACAGTCCAAGTTACCAACAGTTCCAAAGAAAGCCTTGTTCTTACAGATGCAGTTCCTAGGAGACAATACAAGTGAGATACTAACATATCGCCTCAGAAATGCGGTAAAAAGAGCATTCCCTGCTGCTCAATTACACTGTATCTTAAAAACCACTCCTCTTTTGCGTTTGGGAGTAAAAGACAAACTGCCTAATTTCGCCTCTTCCATGTGTATATACCAATTTAACTGCTCCTTTGGAGCCAGTTACATAGGCCGTACAATTAGGTGTGTTTCTCGTCGAATTTCCGAAAGTCACCCTGCCTGGTTAAGCAAAGGACAAACAAAAACTATTCGCAGCGCTATTCTATCTCATCTTGTGGAGACAGAACACAAGATTGATGTTAACCAGGCTTTCAGGGTCATTTACCACATACCAACAAATCTCAATTTCGCCTTAAGAGTTCGATTACTAAATATTGCTGAGGCTGTGGGGATCCATATTAATAAGCCTAATTTATGCACCCAAAAGAAGTTAGTTCAGACATTATCATTACCTTGGCCATCCAGGTTTGAATAATCCAGAATTTTTGTGAAATTTCCCTAATTTTAGTTGATATTCTATTCGCTGTTATATCTTTATTATTATTATTATTATAATTTAAGCATCTTTAATGAACTGCAATAGCATTGATCATACTTTACAAATTGATACTACCTAAAAAACACTAATATTGTTATTGACTGCTAATCTAGAATATTCTGTGTATATAAACATATATAATTGTAGAGCCGGAAGAGGAATTTATCGAAAAGAATATTCTTTTCTCGATTATTTTGTGTTTTATAAATAACACTAAAGATTTATTTCAGACATTATGTGTGGACATATATTGCAGAAATTTTAAGCAAATTTATTTTCTAAATGTTTCCTTTTCATACAAGATTCACATGTAAAGCAATCATTTGAAGTATATCGTTTTATGTAGTGTTGTTCAGTATGAAGAGAGAACCAGTTCTGAAAATTTTTTCATTTCCTCGAAGAATTGCATATCATTTTGTTGATAGCTAATTAAATGTATGCGTGAGTTCATGCACGATTAAAACAATAAGAAATAAAGAAGAGTTTATGCATTTTTGTGGATGGAAACTCTAGTAACCCAATGATTTAAGCAGACCGCCTAAAATCCTTTGAAATTCAAGTAGAGCGAATTTCAATATGAGAATCTAGCTTTTAAGTGAAGATAATTTGATCAAGTATTCTTGAAACTTTCCTTGATGTCATGACCATTGGCCTCTTTCATCCCCCAACGAACTCCTGCTTTCAGTCTCTTTCCAATTCATTGAATCCAACTAAGTTTAACAAGACATGTGAATAAGAAAACTTATCGGCTAATATAGCATCCAGTAGAACATTAGCACAGCCTTTATTTGCAGAAATTTGGTAAAAGAGAGAATCACCTACCCATGATAAATTCAGTTTTTCAGCTAAATGGCAATTGTGCTCAACTTGCTAGACATTAACATCACCGCTGCTTATCTTCACCAGCTTAGCAAAAAACTAGTTTTCTTGCTAGGTGTCTTATTAGTCATACTGAACGTTGGCACATACTCATTTGTCCCCTAATGCTTTGCACTTCTCAGTTGGATCTATCTGTATTTCACTCTTGTTTAGTCAACCACTATCAAGTAATAACTCATTTTCATTGTGTCACTGGTCTCATTTGTACAATTTAGAATATATGAGACCCCAGCAGTAGAGTGAGCATCAATCACTAGGTTTAACGTCGACTCTTGACTCCTGACTGCAAACTCCAAATGGTCGCTCCTTCATCACGTTTTCTTTGACGTTTTGGATGCCTAATAGTCTCTTCATTCCGGATAAAAGAATATTTATGTTGACATTAGCAACGATATATTATCACAGTTACAAACTGAAACCATCTGAAAGCTACACTTGTTGACTTCCTTCACTTAGGCAACATGTTCTAAACATGCAGTATGATATTCATTTGCAGCACCCTGTTTGTGAGTGCATTTATCACAATGTATACCTCCTACAGTGGATGTACATTCGGACATGCCACATTCATGAGGTCGACTGTGCATTATGAATATAACATAACGAAGTATCTATACGAATCATACTGGGCGAAAAATAAACAAAGTTTTCAGTGTCACTGAAATAAAGAAGACTTAATTTTATCTATGGCGTAGGAAACTTCATCTTGTTTTTAAGTAGCGTCGGGAGAAGGTTTTTCTACCTTCCTGAATCAGTCAAGTCGACATTACACGGGAATTTGTTCCCTATAATGTCTTTTACAGTAATTAGTAAAACTTGTCATAGTCATACAATGAAACAAACAAACTTACCGTTGTTTGGATAGTTATAACAAGAATAATTCAAATAAGGCTCTGTGTTACGTGATCTTGTCTGAAATCTATGATTTTATATTTTATAAATCTATTGCTCCAAAAACGAAATTGGAAATCATTTCAGATTAGTTCACGACTCATATTACTAGTGCTTTTATGATCAATGTAATCAAGTTAAATATGTCAGTAAAATTTATTTATACTCAATAAAACTGATGAAACTTTGCTCACATCTAAGCTTACATGAATTCGTATTGATCTACTGACACCATTGCTTTATAATCATTTATATGTTTCAGTGTGTATTCACATAGCGCCAATGTTTAAGATACCAAAGTTCTGAGTGTACTTTAGACGTCTGTTAAGATACTGAACTTACATTGATTACTTTGGACTCTCTCTCTCTGTTTCTTTATGATTTGTGGATAAGTATGCATAATTCACATGAATGATTTTTTTAATTGCACACTAGTCAGTAACTAGTGTAATGTGTCTAGTCCTCTCTTCGGTGCAGACTGAATTCTAGTTCAATCTAGTGTGCAATCAAAAATATCCAATACAGTCCTACAGGAGGTCAGTCGCGATCCCGAATAGCTCAGTGGTAACGTCTCTGACTGCAGCACTGGATGACGCGGGTTCGAATCTCAGAAGGGACATCAGTTCCTTCAAGGTTGCAGATACGCCTTGCTGATGAGTGCCAACTAGCACGAAACCTAGGTCGAGCAAGGCTTCCTGCCGATTGCCTCCAACCATCTAATACCAACAATTCACATGAATGAGTTAATCGTTTTCTGACGGCACGCAAATTTTGTTGTAAGGTATGATTTTGTATTAATGGTTGAAGGCAGAATCTTCTGAGATGAGGAGTGCTAAGTTGTTTAGGGTATGCTTGAAATATACTTCCTCATTCGAAGTAATAAGCAGCAGTTGATGGGCCGTTGTTTCTTAAGTAAGGAGGAAAATCTTTAAGTGACCCAAAGAAATTTGCCTATGAGTTCAAATAAGATGTATTACATGCTTTCATTGTACTGCACCATGATATTATTTCCAGTCTATATAAAGGTTTTATCTCCCTAGAGATCTCTTTGAAGGAAATCAATGCTAAATTAATTACATTTACACCCTTAGAGCTTCTCTATCACCTGAGAGCCTGATGAAACCTTCGAAAAGAATACTCTCTGTTCATTAATTATTATTATTTTTATTATTACACCAATTGACATCATGCTTGAAGGTAAGACATGCAATTACATCATGATAAAGGATTTGTGAGACTATTTATTTCGAATATTATTCCAAAGTTTGGTCACAGAGGCCTGTGTAACTAAGGAACTGACCAACATAACAGACCAGTGTAGATCAATGAAAGTCTGAATCGCAAGTAAAACGATTTTTAGAGACGAATAACTGTGATATATGAATAAGATTTCATCATTGTGACAGTATGTAGTTTCACGTGATTCGTCAACTGGATATATCACACACAATGAATCAGTATTACTTACTGGATGACATTTCGAAAACACTATAGAATTCATAACCAAATAAATCTCCGAAACTTGTGTTTCATATTTGTCATTCTTATTCTTCATAGCAAAAACAGAGGTGGAGTCACCATTTAAAATCTCGACTAACCAATACCTTTGACCTAAATTATCAACCAAACTACTTAAAATTAGATAATGAAGAAAAAGTGGTTAGTTTTGACATCCTCCATTTATTTACGCAAATACAAATAAATATGTCTACAGAATAGGTTGGGAATGAACTCAATCCTGACCAGTAATTAAGGCTTAGAAGCAAAGTACCACTGCACGAAATCAAGCTAGGAGTGCAAGTATACCTCCTGACTTAATTAATTAATTAATTTTCCAAGAAAAGATATACAAACTTAAGGGGTTTCCATGGGGTCATCAATATTCCCAATATTGGCAGATATTTTTATAGATAGGTGGAAAAACTTAGCGACTGAAAAGTCCATTCCCTACACCACTGTATGATTGAGGTATGTAAATTACACACTCACGGTGCTAAAAGCACAAGAAATCAACGGAGAAATAGGAAAATGCCTAAAATTAAGGAGGCTTACGCAATTCAAGTTTATAAAATAGGTCTCTGTGTACCGAGCGGAAGGGTAGTCACTCTGAATCTACCATTGTAATATGTTTTTAAATAAATCAAGAACGACAGTGGTTTGTGCAGAATAACATGGTATCATTACTTATTTCGTTGGCTGCTCATCAGATGCTTACGGCCTAAATAAATTAATAAGTTTTTGAGTTCAACTCAGTACATTGTTAACTAATTTATTAATCACTCATCATCTTACGCAACTCTCGTCCTTATTAAGTAACTTCTCTAACATTCTATGCATACATTTACTTTGTTTAAACTTGAACTGCCTGTGTAAAAACTAAAAAAGCGTAACTTTCTGAACACTGTTTACTAAGTTTGGGACCTCCTGTAAACTGACATCATGTAAAATTTGCAAGTATGTTAAAACTTTCCTGTGTATAAACTTAATAATTTATTTAGGCTATAAGCAGCTGATGACAAGCCAATGAGATAATTGACGGTACCATATTATTCTGCACAAAACACTGTTGTTCTTGCTTTATTCAAATTCAACAAAATAAATAGATGTATGACGTAATATTTTTGATTTGTCAGGTGTTATTATTATTAGTATTAGTATTAACACTTTATTCTACCTCTTATTATTATTCATCCTGATTCAATCAAAACTATCCTTTTTCAGTAGCATTACGTTAACTCGTTTCAACATTATTATTATTACTATTATCATTATTATTAATACTACTCTGTTCGCATCTCTTGAAATATTTAATTTCTTCCTCTGGTGACTAGTTGTGCATCTAAGTGATTTAGTTGAACCGTAATGTATTTTATCCCAATTTTAATTTCTCATAATCCCTTCCCTTATCTATTTGAAAATGACCTGAAAAACATTCACACCTGTCGTCTTCCATGATTAGTTCAAAGTAGTTTATTTACTGATTAGCCGTATGTCTCCTAATGGCTTATCCTCGCTGTTTGCTGCCACTTTCCATATCTCCGATATAGGCGTTGCGACATTCTGATTGCACGTGTAAGGTGTTGAATCGATCAACAAAGATTCAGTGATCGACAATGATCACCCTACCTCTACAGCCTGCACCTCTAAAGTCAGGTACAAGGCGAAAATTAATGTGCCCAAATCACTACGTATCCGACTCATATACTGGCCATGGAAACAGAAAAGCTAGATCTCTGTATACAGAAAAGGTTCGTTCGACCCCTCCAAATTTCATGGTCTTAATCCCTTTATGATAAAGTATTGTAATCCCTAACCATATTTTGGCTCTATCTATTTTTCGTCTTTTTATTCGATTACGTCAATTCTTACTGTTACTACTTCGAAGTGTCCCCCGTATTATTTCACTTGTTCCACTTGTCATTCTAAATGAATTTTGTCTTGCGACATTAGATTCTATGTTATCAAAATTCACACAATGTTACGTAACGTTTTTATTTTAATTCTATTTGCCTATTAATCCTATGATTTCACACCCCTTCTAAGTACGATACATCCCATGAATTAGCCTATATATGACAATAATTGTTTTACCACTTGACATTTAACTATGATTATAATCATAGATATTTTAATTGCATTTCATGCTATTATTATTTAATGTATTCACACCTATAATTCAATTCCCTCACCGGATATAATTTCTTGAAAACCATATATATACGATTGTATGGTTTGATAATAAATACGTTGAAAAGAGTTTCTTCGCTGAATCAATTGTTTTGATTTTCTATATGTCCCAATGGAAATTTTCCATGAATTACTCCCTCTCTACACCCAACTATATTACTTTTAAATACTCTCACCCTGTCCTAAACCATCGCTGTGTGATTATATGTAAGTGAATATAGTGCAATGGCTGAGCTTTTTTCTAGGTTATTTAACTTAGCAGAGTCAATTATTCTAGGTCTAGATAAATTTTTATGTTCCGATAATGTAATTGACCCCGATCTACTAGTTTGACCTATTTAATTGACCTCACAGTCATTACGTGGTATTTGGTAAATTATATTGTTTTTCTTAATTGGATCTATTGGGTTCTCGAGCCGACAAAGTTTATCTCTGAGAGAGTTGGATGGTTTAAATACCACCCTAATTCCAGCCTCATTGAGAATCCTATATAAGGCCTCTGACGTTCCGTCTTTATACTGTAGTACTACAGAGGCTTTGAATTCCATACCATCATTTCCATTACTAATCCAATTTTTCCTATGGTTCTGCATTCATTTCTGAGTGAATTCTGGTGGGCAGTTATTCAATAGTAATATTTTCTTTATTTCTCTGATTTCATTACTTGAATCTTCTTACTTACTAGTTAGGCTTCTAGCCCGAATATGTTGATATTTTACTAAATGTATCATAAAAGACTGGCTTCTAGTCCAGAGAAGAATAAATATGCAAACCCTTAGTCCAAAGGGGCTTCGCGTAATGCATTATAATCTCAATTTTAGTCTCTCATACTCACTTCCCGTTGTCTATCCGAAGATTATCTATACAACATTCACACCTGTCATGTTGCGTGACTGATTCAATGTGATTTATTTACTTGTCAGTGTTATATCTCCCAATATAATTCAGCTGAGGAATTCCATTGAAATTTGACGAATTCATCAACTCGTGTTTGACTAACAATATTCGTTGCATGTTTTGAATTCGAATCGGGAAATATATAGATAAATAAGGACTGTGCTAAAATTGTCGATAAGATTTACCGTCTTGAACTGTCATTAGCTAAAGCGACTGCATTTTCAGTTCCTAAGATCTGGAATGACCTAGCTTTCAATGATTAAAAATATCATGAAACTTTATGGAGGAAAGGGATGTTTTAACCAGGTCGAATTCTGTTCCAGTCTAACATTCCTGTTCGGACAATTTGGATTCCATTTGATATGATGTGCTTCTGATACTAGATGTTCTTTGTGATCCCTGAAAATTTTTTGGATCATTTCATTATTGTCAAAACCAGTTTATTGACTTGATTCTCTTATCTTACCCTCTCCCAATTTCCCTCATATCAACTTCGGAACCCATACAACTCGTCGTTTCCCATTCGGATTCCGCCAGAAGGAATACAGTGTGGTGTCACCAAACGGTTTCCTTCAGAGCGT